GACACCTGGGGGGCACCTTTGGGGACACTTTGGGGGCATCTTGGGGATCCCCTGGAGACACTTTGGGGACCCCCTGGGGACACCCCTGCGGACACTTTGGGGGCAACTTGGGGACACTTTTGGGGTATTTTGGGGCACTCTTGGGGACTCTTAAGGGACAGCCCTGGGGACACCTGGGGGGCACCGTAGGGGCACTTTGGGGACCACCCTTGGGGACCTCCTGGGGACACTTTAGGGACAACCCTGGGGACCCCCTTGGGGACACTTTGGGGACACTTTGGGACCACCCTTGGGGACCTCCTGGGGACACTTTAGGGACAACCCTGGGGACCCCCTTGGGGACACTTTGGGGACACTTTGGGACCACCCTTGGGGACCTCCTGGGGACACGTAAGGGACAGCCCTGGGGACCCCCTGGGGACCCCCTTGGGGACACTTTGGGGGCATCTTGGGGATCCCCTGGAGACACTTTGGGGACACCCCTGCGGACACTTTGGGGGCAACTTGGGGACACTTTGGGGACCCCCTTGGGGACACTTTGGGGGCATTTTGGGGCACCTTTGGGGACACTTAAGGGACAGCCCTGGGGAGACCCTGGGGACACCCGGGGGGCACCTTGGGACCACCCTTGGGGACCTCCTGGGGACACTTTGGGGACTCCCTGGGGACAATTTGGGGACCCCCTGGCTCCCCCTGCACCCCATCAGGAGGCAATTTGGGGCCAAACCCACCTCTCCCCCCCACCCCCAGCAGTGTTTTCTCCCCACGGGGATGTCACCCCCTTGTCCCCATGTCCCTCAGTGGCTGTCCCCGTGTCCCCATGTCCCCGTGTCCCCAAATCCCCGTGTCCCCCGACCTTAATTTTTTTTTTTACCCTCTTTTTCCCCGTTTTGGCAGGTTTTTGCATGGGCGGGGCCCCCCCGGCGCCATGGGGCAGAGCGAGTCGGAGCCGCAGGAGGACACGGAGGTGGGGAGATGTCACCCTGACGGGGAGGGGACAGTGCCACCCCCCTACCCCCCCCATAAGTGTGTCCCCCCCACCCTGGGGGGTGTCACCGGGGGGGGACTGAGGTGTCCCCGTTGTCCCCTTGTCCCCGCAGGACGCCTCCCTGACGGCCGTCCTGCCCAAGCTCTTCGCCGAGGAGCAGCTCTCCACCGGCGCGGTGAGCCACCCCCGGGGGGGACAGCAGTGTCCCCGTGTCCCCAAGGGACACCGTCCCCATCCCTGATGGTTGTAGAGCACCCCTGAGGGGACACCAACCTGTCCCCATGTCCCCAGGGGACACAAAACTGTCCCCACGCCCCTGGGGGACAGTGTCCTGGTCCCCAATGCTGTTGAGCACCCCCTGAGGGGACACCAACTTGTCCCCATGTCCCCAGGGGACACCGTCCCCATCCCTAGTAGTTGTTGAGTCACCCCTGAGGGGACACCAACTTGTCCCCATGTCCCCAAGGTACCCTGTCCCCATCCCCAGTGGTTGTTGAGCACCCCTTGAGGGGACACCAACTTGTCCCGAATGTCCTTTGGGGACAGTGTCCTGGTCCCCGATGCTGTTGAGCACCCTGATGTCCCCATGTCCCCGTGTCCCCAAATCCCCGTGTCCCCCGACCTTAATTTTTTTTTTTACCCTCTTTTTCCCCGTTTTGGCAGGTTTTTGCATGGGCGGGGCCCCCCCGGCGCCATGGGGCAGAGCGAGTCGGAGCCGCAGGAGGACACGGAGGTGGGGAGATGTCACCCTGACGGGGAGGGGACAGTGCCACCCCCCTACCCCCCCCATAAGTGTGTCCCCCCCACCCTGGGGGGTGTCACCGGGGGGGGACTGAGGTGTCCCCGTTGTCCCCTTGTCCCCGCAGGACGCCTCCCTGACGGCCGTCCTGCCCAAGCTCTTCGCCGAGGAGCAGCTCTCCACCGGCGCGGTGAGCCACCCCCGGGGGGGACAGCAGTGTCCCCGTGTCCCCAAGGGACACCGTCCCCATCCCTGATGGTTGTAGAGCACCCCTGAGGGGACACCAACCTGTCCCCATGTCCCCAGGGGACACTGTCCCCATCACCAGTAGTTGTTGAGTCACCCCTGAGGGGACACCAATTTGTCCCCGTGTCCCCAAGGGACACTGTCCCCATCACCAGTAGTTGTTGAGTCACCCCTGAGGGGACACCAACGTGTCACCATGTCCCCAAGGTACCCTGTCCCCATCCCCAGTGGTTGTTGAGCACCCCTTGAGGGGACACCAACTTGTCCCGAATGTCCTTTGGGGACAGTGTCCTGGTCCCCGATGCTGTTGAGCACCCTGAGGGGACACCAATTTGTCCCCGTGTCCCCAAGGGACACTGTCCCCATCACCAGTAGTTGTTGAGTCACCCCTGAGGGGACACCAACGTGTCACCATGTCCCCAAGGTACCCTGTCCCCATCCCCAGTGGTTGAGCACCCCTTGAGGGGACACCAACTTGTCCCCGTGTCCCCAAGGGACACTGTCCCCATCACCAGTAGTTGTTGAGTCACCCCTGAGGGGACACCAACGTGTCACCATGTCCCCAAGGTACCCTGTCCCCATCCCCAGTGGTTGTTGAGCACCACCCGGGGGGACACAAACTTGTCCCCGTGTCCCCAAGGTACCATGTCCTCATCACCAGTGGTTCTTGAGTCACCCCTGAGGGGACACCAACTTGTCCCCGTGTCCCCAAGGTACCATGTCCTCATCACCAGTGGTTCTTGAGTCACCCCTGAGGGGACACCAACCTGTCGCCATGTCCCCAGGGGACACAAAACTGTCCCCACGCCCCTGGGGGACAGTGTCCTGGTCCCCGATGTTGTTGAGCACCCCTTGAGGGGACACCAACTTGTCCCCGTGTCCCCAAGGTAATGCTGTCCCCATCACCAGTGGTTGTTGAGCACCACCCGGGGGGACACAAACTTGTCCCCGTGTCCCCAAGGTACCATGTCCTCATCACCAGTGGTTCTTGAGTCACCCCTGAGGGGACACCAACTTGTCCCCATGTCCCCAGGGGACAGTGTCCCCATCACCAGTGGTTGTTGAGCACCACCCGAGGGGACACAAACGTGTCACCATGTCCCCAGGGGACAGTGTCCTGGTTCCTAACACCATTGAGCCACTCCTGAGGGGACACCAACTTGTCCCCATGTCCCCAGGGGACATTGTCCCCATCACCAGTGGTTGAGCACCCCTTGAGGGGACACCAACTTGTCCCTGATGTCCCCTGGGGACAGTGTCCTGGTCCCCAGTGCTGTTGAGCACCCCCTGAAGGGACACCAACCTGTTCCTGTGTCCCCAGGGGACAGGAACTTGTCCCCATGCCCGGGGGTCATGAAATTGTCCCCGTGTCCCCTGGGGGACAGTGTCCTGGTCCCCAATGCTGTTGAACAGCCCTGAGGGGACACCAACTTGTCCCCATGTCCCCAGGGTAACGCTGTCCCCATCACCAGTGGTTGTTGAGCACCACCCGAGGGGACACAAACGTGTCACCATGTCCCCTGGGGACAGTGTCCTGGTCCCCGATGTCCCCTGGGGACAGTGTCCTGGGTTGTGGGGAGCACCCCCCTGGGGGACACAGGATTGTCCCCACATCCCCAAGGGACACTGTCCCCCATCCTGACCCCACCGAGCCCCCGCCATCCCTCCCTGTCCCCCCCGAGGTGGCAGTGCCACCTTCTCATCCCTGTCCCCGTCCCCCCGGGGGGGCAGGGGGGGTGGGGAGGTGACACCGGTGGCCACACGAGGACACCCCCCCCCC